GGGAAACACCATCGTGTTCCCTTTAGTTCTAGGGCTGATAACCGTGTGTCGAGTCATTTTTCTTTGGTTCATTCAGATGTTTGGGGTCCTTATAAAGTGATGTCATACAATGGATAGAGATATTTTGTCATTTTTGTTGATGATTTTTTAAGGATGACGTGGCTCTATTTAAWGAAAGAAAGAAGTGAATTGTTTACCATCTTCTAGAAATTTTATGCTGAGATTCGCAATCAATTTGGTGTTAACATTAAAATTTTTCTTTCTGATAATGGCCGTGAATATTTATCTTCATCATTTCAAGAATACTTGGACCAACATGGCATTATACATCAGACCTCATGTACCTACACCCCAYAACAAAATGGGGTGGCTGAGAGAAAGAATCATCATCTTTTGGAAACAGCACGATCCCTCATGCATCAAATGAATGTTCCCAAACCCTTTTGGAGTGATGCGGTGCTTACTTCTTGCTTCTTGATTAATCRGATGCCCACGTCTATCCTTGATGGTCATTCCCCATTTACTACCTTGTTTTCCACCTTGTCTCCGTTTCCTCTTTCTCCTCGGGTATTTGGGTGTGCCTGCTTAGTCCATAATCTGGGCCCCGGGAAGGACAAGTTAGATGCACGTTCCATCAAGTGCATCTTCCTTGGCTATTCTCGGACCCATAAAGGGTATAAGTGTTACCATCCTAGTTCTCGACGTTCCTTTGTGTGTGTTGATGTTACCTTCTTTGAGTTTACTCCGTTTTTCTTGGGGTCTGGTGATGCTTCTTCCTCCTCATCACCTCCCCCTCTTCCACTTCCAATTGCCGATTTTGTTCCCTTTTTTCCAGCCGTGACCAAGTCCTTGCCTCCAGTGCCACCACCTGTTGAACGCCCACCTATCCGTCAAGTGTATACACATCGCCCACATGTACCGGCTGCTACTCCTCTGTATCCATCACCGTCGACAGATCAGGAAGTTATCTCCACACCAGCCCCGAACCCAATATCTGATCTTGATCTTCCCATTGCCTTGCGGAAAGGTAAACGCACTTGCACCCTTCATCCTATTTCCCTTGCCTCTCCAGGGTGGTGTCGTGCAATGGAAGAAGAACTCTCAGCTCTACTTCATAATCATACTTGGGACCTTACCGCTCTTCCTCCTAGAAAGCAGGCTGTCAGTTGTAAGTGGGTTTATACTGTTAAGTATTTGCCTGATGGTAGTGTTGAGCGCCTGAAAGCTCGATTGGTTGCAAAAGGGTACTCCCAAACCTATGGTATTGACTACACAGAGACCTTCTCCCCAGTTGCTAATATAGGGTCGGTTCGTGTTGTGATCTCTCTTGTAGCTATGCATGATTGGCCCCTCTATCAGCTTGATATCAAGAATGCCTTTTTACATGGTGATTTGCTCGAGGAGGTCTACATGGAGCAACCACCAGGGTTTGTTGCTCAGGGGGAGGATGGTAAGGTATGCAGACTAA